CATGCCCCTGGCAGCGGAGCAGTAACCAGGCAGGCCGAGGACGTCTGCCTGCGTTCCTCATCCCTTCAGGCCTCCTGGATGCATCCCCCCCCCCCCCCCCCCCCCGCCCCCCCCCCCCCCCCCCCTCCCCTTATCCCCCACATGGACACGGGTTCAGTCAGACCAGAGTCCAGCTCCCAGATTTCTGATTATCCAGCAGAGAGAAGTCCATCTTTTTTATTTGGATTGTGGCATTCCTCTTAATGAATTGTTAGATTGTTTTAGAAGTGAATTTAGAAGGATCAAATATAGAGCTATTCATTTTCGAATAAATCATATTTTCCTTTTTCCTTTTTATTTTGTAGTACGTTCATGGGGGGGCCGCTGAATGACAGAACCAAAGGCGGCTTCCAGATCCTCTGAATCTGACGTGACGTTAGCACGTTCCCTTCGGACCGTGCCTCTAGGACACGCGCTCCCACCTGTGAATGAATATGCAAACGGCGGCGGCAGAGCTGGGACTCTGGCTGAGGGCTACGGCGGCCGCCTGCGACAGAGGGGTGGCGGTGTTGTGTTAGAGCTCCTCGGCCGCCGCCGTCAGTGGAGAGCGCGGCGGTTCAAGGTGCAGACGGGGAGCAGTGTTTGATTACCGCGCCCGTCTGGGGAAATTACCGCAAACCGCCTCCCAGCTAAACCTGCTTCCTGGTGTCTGCCGGAGAGCGGGAGGCGCTCCCACCGGCCGTGGGTTTGTTTGGAGGGAGTTTCATTTAGTTGTTTTTTGTCAGTGAATTGTGGAATCCAGCAGGTGGTGTCCTTTCACCAGGTCAGCGGGGGAGCGCCCGGGCCTCCACGCCGTCTGCCAGGCCGGCGGCGAGGTGAGGGCCGGGGGCCCGCGGCCTCTTTTTTTCACCGTGTCCGCCACCTCGCCCGCCACCGGCCGCTGTCAGCCCTCGTTTCTCACCTCCAGCAGATCTTCCTCTCCAAAGTGTCCCGTTTGTGCGTCTCAGCATCCGTTCATCTCGCAATCCGCCCCAGCCGCCCTTCCCGGCGGCGGGCCGAGGCGGAGCAGCCGGCCGCGTGCGTGCGTGCGTGCGTGCGTGTGGATTAGTGCGGGCCCAGTGTCTGAGCATTAAGACGCATTAAGCCCTAATTAATGAGTGTGCCAGTCGATAGAGGCCAGTTATTGGATTTGCCGCTTTAGCTGCTGGAAGGAGCGCTGCCTTAATCACACGCACACTCATCCCCCCCCCCCCCTCAGAGGCGGGGCACGGAGGTGAGGTGAGGTGGATTACCCGGTGTGTGCGCGCATGTTGTGCGAGGCCAGAGGTGTCCGGCCTCCGGCCCGACAGACCGGTGCGTGCTCCGCCCCGGGGTCAAAGCTCTCGCCCGCCGCGTTGCATAACCCGCCGGCTTACAACCCGCCGCAGAGTTAAACATCTTAGGCCGCGACCTGATGGAGAGACTTACCGGCTGCCCGCCCGCTTTCACCCCGCCGATGTGTCATTAAGCATTTCTAGTACCAGGGAGCCAGAGAAAGGCTGGAGAAAAAAAAGGTTTTCCCCCCAACTGGGTGAACCGACGCCGCCATCACAGACTGTGAGGAAGACTCTGCTTCACCTTCGCCTGCGTCTCCGTGCGTCCCGTTCTGAGCTGAGGCGCCCTGTTGGACGATGAAGATGAAGAGGGGGATTCCTGTCGAAGAGGAGGATGAAACTCCCGTGATGGAAAATGAGACGGGGGGGTTTGGGGGGGGGGGGGGGGGGGCAGGCAGGGAGCAGAATGTGTCACAGAGTTGGGATGTGCGCCTCCCCCGTCTGTCGCACACACATGCAGCCCTGCCCCTGCCAACATGACCAGCAGGGCAGGGGCATCTGTCCCCCCCCCACCCCCACCCCCCCCAAGCTACCCCTATCTGTCTGTCTCTGCCCCCAGCCACAGCGTCCCCCTCCCCCCGGCAACCCGTTCCTCACCCTCGTTACTCCTGAACTTGTTGAAACGCTGAAAAGGGGACAGTATCTACGCTCCGATTGGCTCGTCCAGGGACAGGTGTCTGCTTCTCATTCTGAGGATCAGAAATCATCATCTCAAAACGCCCGCCCGCTTTTTTTTAAGTGAAGGCCACTCCACCAGTGTCAAAGCGCAGGCAGACCTCAGAGGTCCCCCTCCAATCGGAGAGCAGCAGTGATAAGTTAGAGAGGGTTTCCTCAGCCCAGCCGCGAGCTGGAACTATAAAACTAGAGGAAAAGCAAAGTATAATGGAAAAATCTTAGCCAGCAGCTCCTATTTAAACGCGCAGCAAATAAATGAACGCACTTCCAAACAGGGCTCCTTAAATCAGTTTTTTTTTCTCCCATTCTAAGTGACACTTTACTGGCCACTCTGCGTAAGGGCTGGAAATATGGATCATCGCGGATGACTGGTCGATTATGCAAATGTGGATCCCGGTGCAGAGGTTTTCCCCCGTCTCATTATGGGGGTGTGTGTGCCAGTGTGAATGAGTTCACCTCTGCACCGGAGGAGGAGATGGCTCCCCGAATGAATGGATGAATGAGGGAAACAATGAGCTGCTGGTGGGAAATATTCTGCCACGCACCCCCCCCCCCCCCCCATTACCCCCAAACTCTCTCACACACACACACACACACACACACACACATTATTCTCACAGCACAGAAACCTCCAGCTGGAGCGCGCGCACGCACACACACACACACACACACACACACACACACACACACACACACACACACTGCGTCTAATCCCAGAGCGAAGTGAAAGAGTTCATTGTGTGCCGTGGCGGCTGGGTCGGGGGGGGGGAGCCACTAATTGGGACGTCTTGGTGGTGATAAAACTGCACACATTCCAGCTACTTTCTCACTGAGTTGTCTAATTTTTTACAAAAGCTGCCGACGATGATGTTTTTTTTGTGTGTTTTTTTTTTGCTTCACTTTATGTATGAGTGTGTTGTTTGGTCCAGTCTCAGGTGCGCATACAGGTTTGTGCCTGTTGAACAGAGCAGTAATTCTTCCCCCGATTTAAATGCAGTTCATTCACCGGGAAAATGTTACTAAAGTCCCTTTTTCTCTGTACTTGAGATCATATCTGACGCTTCTATTTGCTACCAGATGATGCTGCTTTCGCTCAAACGTGGGAAGTGGCAGGTTTGAACTCATTTATTCTCTTTTCTCTTTTCTTTGCTTTGATTTTAACATCATTATCAGTCACCTAACAGAAGAAATCCACTGACAATTGAAAAATAACATTTAATCTGTCTTTTAATTTCTAAACTGTGAAATGATGGGCTTATAAGATGCAGTTCTTAATGTTTGTTTCTGAAACTTGGAACAGAACGCAGAGGAGAGAGGTTCTGCTGAAATCCAGGGTTTATAAAGTGGGTCTGTGTTGGAGCATTTCGATCTCGCGTCGTAATAACGTGAGATCTAAATGGCGTTATTAACCCACCGGCAGCTGTTAGCGTCTGTGGTGCACAGCTTTGACAGCTTGGGCCGTTGGGCGCATGACTCGTGACGAGGCTGTTCCTAAAAGGGGGATCCAGCTGTCCGCAGTCAGACTGTAGATGAGGGAAACGAAAGTATCCGAGGATGAAACTGCCGGTCAGGTGTTTTCGAATGGGTTCGGCGTGCGGTATGAGCTGTCAGACTGCTCAGAGCTTTCTTACCCTAATAAATAACAGCTCTAAGGTAGAGAAGAGCCAGGCCCTGGGCAAGGCCAGGAGAGAGCGGAGCCCCTAAACTGAAAAATGAGCCTTTTTATTGTTTCTCTGCGTAACTATGTTACTTCCCTGATCCCACCACAGTCCCATATTTTCTCCTACAATGTTTCCATTCTAAAACTGAATGAATACCCACTCTATGAGCTAGAAAACCTCTGATTTGAGGTCTGTGTTCAGAGGAAAACCCCTCTGGCTCCCACCCGTTAAACTCAAGTGTCATTTAAGTGTGTTTACTTAAGGCTTCCCTCTGTCCTTCATGGGAATCTACTCTCCCCTGCATTATTCCTCATTCCTCCACTTGGTAAAAAATGCGATTTGGTGGCTTTAAGTTCTCCCCGTTTATCGCCATAAGTCGTTTGACGAAGCAAAGCTTTTCCATGCAGGGCTTTGGGACCCAGAACCTGAGAAAAAGTTATTTCTGAGCTAAAGATTTCACTGCTGTGCAGCCGGCCAAACTGCAGGCCAAAGGCTGACGGATGCCATCGCATCAACAGGCTTTTAGCAGGTCTGCGACAGTTATCCGTCGTGTGTGTGTGTGTGAGAGGCGTCTTGGTGTAACTCCCAGGAGAAGCCCCCGTCGTCAGATCCTTTGTAAGCCGCGTTGATTGTTTGATCAACACAAAGTCCAGAGATACCAAAAGCTCTGTGGATCCAGCCCTCTTTCAATATTTACAACATTTGGTTTTCATATTAGCCAGGAGGGCTGGTTCGTCACACACCTTCAGTCAATATTTTGTGTGTGTGTGTGTGTGTGTGTGTGTGTGTGTTGCAGGCTGCAGCAGTTGGACCGTCACTGTCAGAACAGCGCCCAGCAGGTGTGTGAGCTGCTGGCCAAACAGAACCAGCTGATGCAGGAGAGGAACGCGCTCAGCGAGGAGATGCAGACCCGCCGCTCAGAGGTACACACACACACACACACACACACACACACACGCACACACACACCGACAGGCCCAGAGGTGTGTGGGAGCCACTCCACACGTTTGTGCCCAGCTTTGTAGCCGTCCTGGCTTCTGCTTCTGGATTCTCTGATTGATGCTGTCCACCCTTTCCCTGTGTCCAGCTGCCGGACGTCAGATGAGGCGCCGCCCGGAACAACTGGACACTTCATCGCTGTTTGGATTCAGATGGTTGAATCTGATACTCTGTTAAAGAGAGCTGGAGCCGTTTCGTATCAAACGTTTCTGGTGCATTTCAGAACCCCTTTGATCACTTTTTACTATACCGGTGAATAAAATCCCTTTGTGTTTTTTTTAAATGTTTTTTTGTGTTCATTGATTTTTTTTTTTCAGTGCTTTGCTTTGAAACATTTCCTGTTTGTCAGGATCGGCTTTTCTGTCCCGGCTTTATCTGATAAGACCGTGGGCGTCTGCAGCAGAACGGTGCCAGGTTTCTTTTCCAAAGCCTGGAAAAGACATTTAAAAACTTAAGAACCCCCACTTACACAAAACAGCTGGATACTGCTCAGAAAAGAGGTGAAAGGGGGGGGAAGGTGGCCTTTTTTTTTTTTTTTTTTCTTACAGCCAGAAGCCGACAAACCAAGCCGACACACGGCGGCGGATTGACATAGTGCTTTATTGAAGCTGTCTGTAAGAAGGAAAATAATGTGCATCCCTATCATATACATTTTATGTGTAAAAATACTAAAGGATGTACAGTGTAAAAAAACAGCTTCATGTTGATGGTAATTGTTGTTTTCACATCCTCGCGGCCTCACTGGCCAGCAGCACTGCATCCTGACAGCAGGAGGGACAGAGAAAGGCTGTTCGATCTGCGTTTCTGCTTTTCTCTTTGTGGAACTGCTGAGTTTTCCTGACTGTGTCAGAGTGGACGCTGCTCTCTGAGCTGGCTTCAGCGTTACAGTGCTCCGGGGAAACAGCTGGAAGCCGTCCAGAGACGCGTCTCTCTACTGTAAAGCTACAGTATGATGGGCATGAAGTTAAAACTCAGTTAAACGCTGTAATATTTATACACGTCTGCTGTTTTTTTTTTTCTTTCTTTGCTGTGTTTAAATAAATGTATCTCATGCTTTTTTTTGTTTGTTACTGTAATAATCAGGATGATAGTAGAATAGTACCAGAGGGCAGAAAGGAGGGAGTCTGCTGATGCAGAAAGATGTCAAATCTTTCAGGGATCTCGGGCGAGGGGGGGGAAGGGGGGCTCTTATCTGCATTGAACGGTCGACGGAGAGCGGTTTATGGTTTTTGGCTGATATCATTGGTTCATTAAACACACATGAAATCAACAGCGAGCAGCTGAGGTTCTTGAAATGGTTCTAACACTGATGGGGTCAGATCTGTGGTGTTTCAGATGCCGAGTACTAACAGCAGCTTCAGGAGGGATCACCACCAGGCTGAAACTCAACACCTGCATCCAGACACCTGACTTTTACGCCATTGGCTGCCGTCGGGGAGGACCCCCAACACCGGCAGAGAACTCCAAAGCTGCACCTGCCCCCCCGGATCGGCCCGTTGACCCCCCCACTGAACCGGGAGTCAGAGGCTCAGGGGAGGGAACGGTTTTCAGACCGGAAATTAGTGCAATGATTGATCAGTTTTCATTTTAGTCTACAAACACTGACCAGTTTGCTAAACCTTCCCGCCGAGCCCCATGCACCGGACACTCGGCCCGAGTCTCGCCAACTCTACACATCAGAGCAACGTCGAAGCTCGCGTCTGGACGTGGAGGGAAGTTAAAAATTCTCTTTTTCTTAAAAACATAAAAAAGCTAAAAATCTCGCTTAAAGCCGGGCTGAGTCGGACTCCTCTGAATCATATCAAAAGTGATGGATGCTGTGTTCAAATCTACAAAGCGGTATTTTATGAACTGGGGTTTTTCTGGTGGTTTTGGCGTTAAGCATGCACATACAGCTGGAACTCCTCTGTGGCTCGCGGAGCCGGGTCAAACCAGAGCTGAAATCCGTCCAAATACCTGGGAGCGCTTGTTCCAGCCTGTGGAAGGAGCCAGACGGGCTGGGTCTGGGCTCGTTTTTTTTTTTTTTTTTTGGACTGTACGGCGGTGCCAGAAAGGCTCAGCTGATCACAGAGAAGTATTTTTCATTAGAGTTCTGAGTGCCACTTTGACCCCGGCCGGGCGGGGCGGACAGAGGAGGACCACGGCATGCAGGCCAGCGCCATCCTTTTCAGCTTTCTGCCATAAAGCGCCTTTGCAAGCTATTAGCGGTTTAATGGTGTGCAACAGTAAAGCATATCGACTTAAAAGCAGCGGAAACAACAGGTAAGATGTTGTATAAGAGATATCTGTAAAGGAAGAAAAAAAAAAAAAAAAAGACATTTATTTTAAGAACAAAATCTTGAAACACGGCTACACCCCACCCTTACTGCTAAACGCCAAACCATAGAGACAACAAATAAATTAAATAGAAAATAAATTCAAGTTATCCATCAATGATGAACAATAAAAACATTCAAATAAATATAATGCAGTACAATTCTCTACGGCTACTGAGAGCACGTCCCCTGGTGCTCTGTCGTCTGCGACAGCCGGACTCTCAAAGTGATGGAATGTCTGTTTTGTTTTGTTTTTTTTGTTTTTTTTCAAATTAGGTTAAGATTTAAAATCCATTTTCACGGGCCACCTCGCATGCCAAAGTTCTGATCCGAGGCTAAGCCGGCACTTGAGGACAGAGGACTTGAGGGGGTTTTGGAAAACCTTGGTGGTCAGACTGGAAGACGTGACGACGGAACGACTGCAAACACACAGCTGAGTCCAGCCGGGGGAGGTGACCGCACGCCTTAGAGGCAGCCCAGACGCCCGCCATTTCCCGCCATCGCCCCCCCTCCCCCCTCCCACCTCCACCCGCTTTCACTTCCGCTTCCACTTCCTACATTCAGACTTTCGTACTTCTCTCACTTTCCTTCTGCTCCACTTCCTCTAGCCCTTCTCTGAACTCGCGCAGACACACACGCCGCCTGTGGTTAGGCTTCAGCCCGGGGGCCCTTTCTGTCCACCTCCCAACCAGGTGAGGCCAGCCTGAGCGTTCTCCACCTGTGGGAACCCCCTCAACTCGCCTCGGCTGTCTTTAAAATGTCCCGTCACCTCCCGGCTGCGACATTTTTGGTCACAAAACAACACAAAACGTAACAGAAAAGAAAAGAAACGATGGAGCAGGAAGGCTATCTGCTTTCCCTCCTACATTCTTCAGCCATTTTTGTTTCTTGAGGTGCATTTTTTTTCCTCTCAGCCCTAAGAAATAACAATATATTTTTCTTCTAGAATAATGTAATAATAGAAAAAGTTAAATATAAAACCAATGAGTAGAACAATAAATAGAACATATATATATATATATATTATAGCCATTGCTGTGATTTTCATAAACCCACGGCGGATTCTTCACAGCCCACTTTGTTTCGTCTCTAATCTCTCAGGAGAAACTTGCAGGAGATCGGCCATTACCTCGCTACTCATCAGCACGCCATAAACATTTCAGATCTATCTTTCCTTGAGATTTCCCCCCTGCCGTCCTGGGCTCGTCTGGACTCTTGGCAGGTTCTGCTTCCTGCACAGCCGCAGGGGGGCCCAGCCGTGTGGATCCCAAAGCCGTGATATGTCACAGTAAAGCTTTAAGTCGTTTTAAACTAAGTACCGTTTCGCTTCCGTTTCCCTTTTTGGGGAGAGAAAAAAAGAAAAAATTGAAATTGAATAAACAAATAAAGCTTTGGGGGGAGCATCAGAGCTTAGCTGGTTTCCTCTCATTTTCACCTCTGAGTTAACGAATCTATCATCGCTCTGCTCTTCTTTGGGAGTAGGGGGGGGGGGGCTTTATGTGTGTGAACTGCTGTGCTTTGAGATGCATTCTGAAACACAAACCCACGGTCCGATCTCACTCGCACAAACACGCACAGACGCGACTTCCTCAGAGCTTTGGGATGTTCCACCGGGCGCTGGGTGGTGCAGTGGTCAGCAGCATTCAGCCAGAAGGGTAGCACCGGGTTTGAGGAGTCGCAGTAGGAGGAGTTGTAGTACCTGTTGTGGTGGTGGTGGTGGTTGAGATAGCAGCAACGACAATGACTTGCACTGAGCAACACCTGAGTCAAATCCTGCCGGACAACGTGAGGTGTGTGGGGGCTCTGCTCACTGCTGACCACCGCTCCATCGGTCCCGGAACCGCCGAGGCCGGACCCGGGGGTCTCTCCGAGTCTGGGTCTGAAAAAAGCCTGAGATACGACCGGTCGGATGGAAGTTTGGGTCTGGATCAATTCTGCCACACGGATGAGAGACCACGGAAAAAGAAAAAAAAGGAAACTGCACCAGCTAATGTGGAACTTGTTGGGAGCTGTTTGGCGGGACGGAGCGGTCAAAGCACAGCAGGTCACCGCTAAAGCGCATGGGGCTGCAGAGCCGGAACGGAGATCATACGTTTTCCAAGTTAGTTTTTTTCCCCCCCGTTTCTTTTTGTTTTTTTAAAGGAATTCACGGAGCAATAAATAATAAATAAAGACGCAGATTGGAGAGGTGAAAAAAAGAGAAGTAATGGAAAGAGTCGTCCTTCCAGTCTGGGGCGGTCCGGGGTTGGTCCAAAGCAGGTCTTCGCTCCACGCCGGCGGCCGAGAAGGCGGCCAGCCGGTGGACAGTTCATTCCCGACCGCTGGCAGAGTAAGAGAACTGTGGGAAGTGCGGCCGTCTCTCGTTGTCCAAACAGTCCATCCCGTCTTCGTCGACTTCAAAAATAAAAAGGGGAAAAAACCAACGCGTGCGGCATTAATGAGCAGGTCAAACTGAACAGGAAACTTCTCTTAGCAATCTCATTAAAAGTACGGGGGATTTAACATAATGGAGGGGAGGGGGGGGTGGAAATAAACAAACACAATTTAATTAACAATGCCTCTGACGCGCCGATCTCCCACAAACCGAAGTGTGAGGAACAAAGCGAGCCGAGCCCGGCGCTAGCACACGGAAACATGTGAGCCCCACTGATGTTTAATTCAGTGCTGAACCTTCTGAAAGCTGCAGCTTTATCTCAGGAGAGTGCGAAAAGCTGCATGTGGCCAGAGGACTAATGCGGGAGCCCTTAAATAAACACACAAGTGAACTTTAGAGTTTCTCTCTGCAGTTAACTTGAAGGGGAAAAGGCGTGAAATGACGCGTTTCGCGGCTGAAAACGGGCGCTCACATTTCTCCGGCGGGGTGATGGTGATGGTCTGAGCCGTGAACTCCTCGTCGAAGTACCTGGTGTCCGTCTCCGACGTCACTTGGGGCTTGAAGGGAGGCAGGAGCTGGGGCGAGAGACGTGGAGAGGTCAGATCAGAGCCACTGAAAAGGACTCAGACACAGAGATCGCTGCGCAGGTGAGAGGAGGGGAAGGAAAAGAGCAGAGGAGGAGGCATGCTGAGGGGAGGGGGCCCGGCACCTGTGTGCCGAGCCGGAGGTGTTGCCACACAGGACATGACTCTCTCTGGGTGGTGTCATCCACACCTCGCCTCTCTGCCTCGTGCTTTAAACATCTGCCTCTTGGCTCCGATTTGCGAATCCCCACACGAATGAAGTCATGGCTACATCACACAAACTGAACATTCCAGCGATTGGAGCTCGAGGTGTCGGAGGAGGGGCTGGACACAGCGGGGGCTCCCGCTGACCGGCTGACCTGACCGTATCTTACCTTTTTGTCGTAGACGTCCTGCCAGTCGATGCCAGAGAAGAAGCTGTGCCTCATTATTTCTTTAGCGTCGTCCGGTCCTCCCCCCAGCCTGAGAGAGACAAACATCCAGCACAACGCCAGGTTATTCACGGCGTCAGCTTTAAGTACACAAAGAAAAAATCAAAGTCAAATTCAAAATTGCCAGAAGAAATCAAGCTAAATCAAATTTAGAAAAAGTCACTTAAAAACATTGGAATCCAAAGGCAGTGAACTTTTTCCTCAAAAGAAGCTGCTCGCAGCTGCGGGGGGGCCGGAGCGGGGTCAGGGCTCGGCCGTGTGGAACATCTGCCTCATCGTGTGATTTACGGTTCTACTGACAAACCTCAAAGAGCGCAACTATGCTGCAGACCCTAAAGAGAGAGAAGACTCCCCGACTCTGCGGCAGCTCTTAGAGATACGGATCTCAGAGGGATCTGGCCGGGGCGGGGGGGGGGGGTGAAGGCACCTTTTGTTGGGGTCCTTGATGAGCAGGCCGGACAGCAGCGACTTGGCGTCGGCCGACAGCGTGCGCGGGAACTTTATGTCCTCCATGAGTATGAGCTCGAAAAGCTTCTCGTGGTCCTGGTTGTAGAAGGGCAGCCGGCCGCACATCATCTCGTACGTCACCACGCCCAGACCCCACCAGTCCACAGCCCGGCCGTAGTCGTTGTCCTCCAGCACCTGAGGACAGGAAGCCCAGACACGCCGGCTCTTTAATGGGCCATTGCTTTTAATTGGACATCTGGCTTTATTATTCGTTTCTACATTTGTTTTATTGGGCAATACGGACAGCCCAAGGTATTTGGTGAAGAGACAGATGAGCAAGCAAAGGCAAGATAGGACAGTCAATATGCCATTAAGCTTAAGGGATGAATGATCCAAATGGAAAATGAAAATAACTAAAGTTGTTTGAGACGGACACTAGCGGCTGCCCGGCTAGCTGGAGCTAAACCTAAATAGCCTACAGAGGCACACATCTCGGGATGGCAGGTCTTCAGAGGCCCCTGTTACAGTAAGGGGGTCAGTTCTGTGTGTGCGTGGTCCCCACCCCCCCTCCCCCTCCTCCTCCTCTTCCTCCTGGCTGCTGCCAGCCCTCCCTGGCACACTGGTCCCTGCCTGGCAGGGACAGGCAGGAATGTTCCTGGACAGAAAAGGCAGGAACAGCCCACAAACTGAGTGAGGGCCAGTCCAACCTTCAAACTGGGCAGCGCAGGTACTGAACTGTAAGCTGCTGCATCGTGTGTGTGTGTGTGTGTGTGTGTGTATGTGTGTGCGCGCGCTCCTCATTCACTTCCATATCAAAGTCTTGAATCTGTGCCGTCTCCCTACTCTTCTTCCTTGCCTGCTCTCCGTGCACTTCCCTCTCCGTCCTTTCTTATCCTGCCTGCTCTGTCCTCTCATCATGTCTTCATTCGCTCGCTCCTTCTCTTTCATCCTC